TGTTCTGAACTGTTCCGTGAAACCAAAGAAAATGATTAAAAGTGAATTCCAGTGCCAGCCTTTCCCGTGTCCCTGCCAAGCCCCGCATAGAACTCTTCACTCTGCAGTCAGGGAAGGGGTGGCCCGTGGATGTGGTCTGGAAATGGTCCCTCCACCGCAGTCCTTTCTCTTTTCTTTGTGATGCCTGTTATTTGAAAGTACTGGCTGTAATGAAATGAGTGTCTGGTTCATAAAAACTTCCTTGCTGTTTCAGACATTTGTTGCAGTGAAGTGCAGAGCTGTGGATGGTAGAAAGCATTTCTTAGGATCCAAAACCTATGAGAACGTCACTGGACAATGAGTATGTCCCATGCTTGCCAATGTGTTGATGATGATGGTGGCCTATGGGGGTGGGGTGCATAATCATAGGGTCACACAATTTGATGGGGGAAAGTTCCAGCACCCCCATCAACATCATAGGTACATCATAGTTTACTCTGATGGACAGTAAGCCAGTGAATGACGGATTGAAGCTGTGCTCTACCCTCTACCGCTTTGACAGTCTCTACCATGCTCAAGTGCATTAAATTCACTGGTCAGTCCATCTTGTTGAAATTCCCCCTCTCTTTGACTTTTCTCAACACAATGTCTTTTGCCAATCGTTGGTGCCTCCTGACAACTTTGATATCGTTTTCATTCTCATTTTGACACAGCTTTGGGACAGTCACTTTTGGTTTTGGGAAAGCCAGCCTTGCCATGGTCACTTGCAGGAACCATCCTCATTCTGAGTGCTTTCTATGACACCAGCCCTGGATGGTGCTCCAGTCTCTGAGGGTTCTGTGTCTGGTCAGTGAAGACTTCCGGCGGCACCAGGATTGGCATACCTCACGTGCCACCATCTGTCTGCCAGAGGAGGCTCATATGTCATTCTGAGACTCAGCATATTTCAGCAGAGCCTCCAAATGAAGACAAGGAACCAAGGCCCGAGGCCCTGTTGCTCAAGGCAGCCAGTGACAGCCCTCTGGCTCACAAGGGTTCAGCCACAGCTGTCATTGGCTGCACTGGGGTTGATGTGATTTAGGCAGTGCTTTGTTGTGGCTTAAGTTAGGAGCACTGTGAAGGCAGTTAATATTCAAGTTTGGTCTCAGACATCACCTCAGTAAGTAACTCCTTAATTGTGGTGGTGGTGTTATGTGCCGTTGAGTTGCCTGTGACTCATAGTGACCCTATGTATAACAGCCCTAAACCCTGCTCTATCCCTTGCCAATCTTATGGTCTCCAACACACCTGTCCCCATTACCCCAGTGACTGAATCAGTCCATTTCATCAAGGGCTGTCTGTCCACCCTCCCAAGCATGATGTCCCTCTCCAAGGACTTGTCCCTCCTTGCAATACATCCAAAGTATGTCAGACGAAGCTTCAGAATCCTTGCCTCCCAGGAGCAGCCCGGCTTCATCCTCTCCAGGATGAACCTGTTTCTCCTCGAGCAGTCCCTGGTATATTCAGTACTCTTCTCCAGCACCACAGCTCAAAGGCATCAATTCTCCTGTCATCCTTAGTCATTGTCCAGCTCTCTGATACATAGAACTCCGAGATTACTATCATGAAAACCAAAACAAACAAACAAACAAAAACTATAATGCCATATAAGAAAAAACCCATTTCCTTGAGATCCTCTGTCCTTCCAAGGACCCGCCCGTCCCTACACATCTGAGTCATTAACCTTGTAGATTGCCGGCAGCAATCTTGCAGCTTCCCTTTGTTCTCTAAGTAGACAAATTCACAGGTCAGTGTTTGGAAAAACCACATCCTTGGCTCAATCTCCTTTCCCTAAGAAGGTCAGTTGACCTTCGTTTCTTTGTCATATTTTCACTCAGTGAAAGATGACATGGCCCTGCCCCAGAAGTTGCCTTGGTGCAGACAAAAGCTGTGGGTTTCCGGGATCTGGCTGAACTCACAGGAGGAAGGTGGGGGTGTAGTGCAGAGCTGGGAGTTCGAGCTCTGTGGCTGGTTTGGGGCCATGGATCATGGAATCAGAAGTGAGTCTGTCTGGCACAGGGGCCCTGCAGGAATCCTTGGTGGATCCAGGCCCCTGCCTGCTACCGGGGTGCACACGGCTCTGGGGGTGGGCTTTGGGCTTTATGTTCTCTTACTGTCTCGGTTCCTCATCTCCACCCTCTTAGTTTCTGGCTTTCTTCTGAAAAGTGTGGTGCGTGTTTTTTCCTTTCTTTTCCCGGGGCTGGTTTTCTGGTGGCATGCCTGCTTGGCATGGAGTGTCTCAGCCTCTTCAACTATGCTGGGCTAGGAAATGAGTGTGCTTCCCAGGCTGAAATCTGTTTCTTGAAACATCTGGGTGATTAAACTTGGAACTTTGTTCGATGCAGAAAAGGCTTCTGGCCTGGAGCTGTATCTGCACTCCTACCTAAACCCGAGGGTGAGTGCAATTCAAACTTTCTGTCACTCATCCTGGGGAGAGACAGTGCCTCTACTCCTGCTGCACCAGAAAGGCCCCTCCAGTTGTCCTGTTGTTGATAGTAAAGTATTTTAGGAGTAACAGTGATTGTACAACATTTAACCAAAGGATTAGCAGTTTGAATCCACTTAGTGACTCTGCAGGAAAAAGACCTCATGATCTACTCCCATAAAGATTCCAGCCTAGACACTTCCTCAAAAAGCCACATGTAGAAATTCCCCATGACCCAGCTATTCCACTGCTTGGGATATATCCTGAGAGAACGAGAACTAAGGTACAAACAGAGGCTTGTACACCAGTGTTCATAGCAGTGTTATTCACCATCACAAGAACATGGAAACAGCCCAAATGTCCAACCATAATCAAATAGACCGAGATATTATGGTACATTCGCATAGTGGAATACTACGCCGCACGTAGGAGCAATAATTTTGTAAATTACTACCTAACTTGGGAGGGATGGGAGAACATTATGCTAAGTGAACTAACTCAGTTCCATAAGGACAAATACTTGTATAAGAATACGATTATTGTAGAAAGAGGACCTGGTGGGGTGGGGAGGAAGAGAGAGCAGAGGGCTGAGGATAGGGGGGCGATGTTAATCATAGGGTTGCACAGTTTGATGGGTGGAGGGAGGAGGGGTGAAGGAAATAAGAAAGTCCGGTGTCAAAAACAAAGTGTATGAACTTTGTAAATAAACCAGTATAAAAGAAAAATAATTTTTTAAAAAAAGGTTCTAGTCTAGAAAATTTTGTGGGGCATTCTGCTCTGTCACGTGGGGTCACTGTGAGTCTAAGATCACTCCGTGCACCTGAGACCCACCAAGTGTTTCAGTGGTTTTTTTTAATATGGTGGGAGTTTCTATACTGCATATAGCTGCTAACAGAAAAGTTGGGGATTCAAGTTCTTCCAGATACACTGCAGAAGAATGGCCTGGTGATCTACTTTAAAAAAAAAACAAAACCAAACCCCCAAACCCAGCATTGAATACCTTCTAGGGCCCAGTTCTACTCTTACACTCTTGGGGTCTCTGTGAGTTAAAGTGGGTGTGACACTGAGGTTTTTATGTGATTTATTTATATTTACTATTATCTCTCAGTGAAGAAGTTTATTATCGCCAAATTATTTGATCAGCTGAAAACCAAAATATGTGTTTTGTTTTTAAGCTATTTTAGAAAGAAAATATTTTTTTCTCTCCTTTGGAAGGATTTTCATGAACTTCCTCACCCTCCACCTCTCCTCTATTGCTAAACAGTTTGGTTGTTTGCTTTTTAAATATAAGAGGCCCATCATCAGTCTCTCTGTGGCTCTGGAAGTAAAGGAGTCCGTTGGCCGAGCGCAGGGGCAGGCATGGGCTTGTGTAATTCAGCTTTTCTTTTCCCAATAGATCGGTAAATATTTACCAGCGACCTTATCAAATAGTTGGGGTCCATCGGGCCACTTGAAAGCCTGTGGTTGGAGCAGTGGCCGCCCATCGGCCAGCCGCCAGGTCCATAGACCTCTGAGGAAGGACTTCAGTTTTGTTTACTTGTTTTTGTTTTGTTTTGTTTGTTTTTCCCCCCCATGAAAAGCAGGCCATGGACCAAATGCCTCTAACTGAAAGTTCTCCCCAGTACTGGATTGCCTTTCTGAATGACAGGGTTTTTAGAAAACTTGCATTTTGAAAGGTAGATTTCTAAAGTTTAAGCTCACTGGGCTGGAGCAGATAAATTGCCATGAACTGAGAAATCCGAAAAATAAATATTGGCTTGGACTGACTGTTGCTTTGGGTTCTTTTGTTTCTCGGGGAGGGAAACTACAGAATTCCATTCCAGGCTTAAAAGTGGCTCTTTTATGGGCAAGTTGGGGAAATCAAAAATAAAAACAAACAAACAAAAAAAAATAATAGAGGGATTACTTTTCCCTTTTTTGTAAAATGATACCAACTGTATTATGATTTTAAAATGTTAATTCCTTTCTTTATGAAGGAGGTAGATTGTGATAAGGGTTCTCCAACCCTCATTTTCTTCTACTTTTGAAATCGGACCAATTCAAAACTCATTTCTAGAAAAACAGAATACGATGGTTCTTCAGAACTCACATGGAAAAATAATTACTTTCCTTTGGGATAGGTAAGCCCAGGGGAGAGCAATGACCAAGTGCCTGGCTTCTAACCAGAAGGTTGGTGGTTCGAACCTGTCTAGTGCCTCAGTGGAAAAAAGACCCAGCAGTCTGTTCCTGTAAAGATTATAGCCTTGAAAACACTGATACAGCTGTGCTCCATCCTGTAGGAGCTCTGTGTGTTGGAGTTAATTTGATATCACACAACAACAGATAAGAAAATTATAATATAGTATTGGTAAAATGTGGTAATAACATATTCATTTTGTCTGTCAGACCTAATAAGAGTAAGACTAAAATGAGTACTGTTGTCAAGAATACCATTTTTAAGGCTAGGGAACAGCCAGCAGATAAATGAGAGTCTTTTAAAAAATAAGTAATTGATGTAATACCTGTGGATAGATTTCCTGAAAAATACTTACTTTCTGTGTTTTTGTTTTCTTTACAGAGTATTGGGAAAGGGTCCTTGTGGTGCATAGACCCAGAGTATAGACAAAATCTCATTCAGGCTTTGAAAAAGACACCTTACCACCCGCACCCACACCCGCACCCTCACGTGTTCAGCACACCTCCCACCTCTCTTCAGGCTTATCAAAGGTAAGCATTCAGACTTCTTGCGTGAATGTGTTTCCTGAAGTTGCATTATTCTGCTGGAGAACGGTGCCAAAATGAATTGTAACCTTCTGCAGGAGATTTTAAAAATAACCAAAGATAAATGAGAAAAGAATTAAGCATCATTAGCCAGCATCTCCATTGTTACATTGCCTCTAAACCTTACCTAAAATTTTGCTGCCTGGAGAGAATGTGCATCCAGGAGGCTCCATGGTGCCTAAAACAATGTCTTCCTGGGTGGACACCTTGACAAAGAAAAGTGGCCAGCTCAAATGGCCCAGCGGACCTCACTCTTTGGGCTTCAAAGTATGGGAACCAGCAACGCCAGCCATTCTGTCTTGGTGTCATCTGTCTGGAGTCGCCCCAGGTGTTCTCTGGAGGACTTGCCCGGTTGTTGTCATTCCTGGTCTCCATGTGGACGGTGTTTCCGAGCAATCGTTGTGTTGTGGTTACTGGGCATCTGCCGCCTGAAGGAGCGGAGCAGTGGGGTTAAAGCTTTTCCCCCTCTGCCCGGCTTCCTTTGAGGCTGTGAGGCCATGGGTTCTCTTTTTCACAAAGATGTAAAATTGCAGGGGAAGATAAGTAGTGTATCACTTTTTTAATAATAAAAAAAAAACAACCAACCCTTTTTCTGTTTCAGTCAAGATTAAAAAAATCGCCTCGGTCATTCATACAGTCTTTCCTAGGCATTTGTTTTTTAATAATTCATTACTATTGATGAATACAGTTAATTAATTACCACATCTCATCCACTTCTTTTTGTGTATTGCTTTTCTCTTCACTCAACTCATTTATTAATTTTAGCTCCTCTCTTTCTCGTTTTCAATGTCTGTTAGCTATCTGCTTTTTTAAAGAAGTATATTTATGTCTGGTGCCAGAAAAATAGTCTCATCATGCAGATTTTAGAAAATGACTTTTTCTCTATACATGATAGAGATACGTAATGCTTGTGAATGAAATGCGTCCTTCAAATCATACCAGAAACATATCCCCAAATGTATAATGATAGTTGTGGGATCATCGCAGAGTTGAGTGAAATGATGCCGGGGAGGCGATCTTATGTCAGTGAGAAATAGGGGGCACAATCACAGGAAGATACTGGTAGTTACACCATCTGCTTCTCTGCCTTGCACGACTGGCTGTGTGTTCTCCAGGAGCATCTCACAGCCATTTTTGGAAATGATATTATAGAAGTTCTTGTGCATTTCAGCTGAGCATCATTCCGTCACATCACAGGCTAGACAATCAGTCTTCAGCCCAAGCCGGAGGAACAGCTGGGCTCTCTGCGAAGACTGCTGTATGTCTGCCTTTGCTAGGCGATTAGCGTGCTGGTAGCCATAGAAACGGGAGCGTCGCCATAGTAACGCGGAGCCCAGACAGGTGCAGTTGCATCACAAGGCTGCTTGTTGCCTGGCAAAAGGACAGGCCATTAGTGCTTCTCTCAGCACTGTTGCCTTGGAAACAAATAAGCCTACATAGCAACTACAGTGGGTTTGAAAGTTGAGTCCCCCCTCCCCATGAAAGGTTGTACCAGCTTTTGTCTGTGTTCATAAAAATCAGTGGGTGCTTACTTTATTGGAAATGACAACTTGAGGTCATACTGCTTTAGGAAATAAAACATAATTTTTCCAGTGCAGCCAAGCCAATACTATAGAACTGTCCAGAAGGATGGAACCATATGCTTGTTTTTTCTTCATGGTGTCTGTAGCCACTGCTGAAATGGGAGGGAGCGTGAAAAATTGCTGATGCACTGGGGTGAATAGGGAGAGATCTGAGACCAATAACAAAAATGTTTTCTTGATTATCATGTTTGTCTTTTTACTCCTTCCATGCCTCACAAATACCCTTCATTTCTCCTCTCCTCTCTCATTGGATACTTCAGAAACATTTTGATATTTCTTTTGCTTTTAGGTAATGTGATGGGCTGCTTACTGAAAAGTTGGCAGTTCAAAATCATGAGCTGCTTCTCTAGAGAAAAAGGGGGCAGTTCCTTTCTGTAAAGCTTCACACACAGCTTTGGAAACCCGCTGCAGGGTCCATGAGTCAGTATTGACCCAATGGCACGGGGTTTGATAGTTTTTTCCTTCTTCTTCTAGGAAGTTACAAACCCAAGTAATATTTTTTGGATTCTGTCCCTAGTTCATTTAGACCAGTATTTTGTTGCCAACTGTGACCCCAAGGGAATGGCGGTAATTATTCCATAATTTGAAGGATTATTGCAGCACTCTGGGGTTTCAGGAGGAATGCATACTTGGGCAAGAGTCAGTCTGAGCTGGCCTAATCTTAATGACTTCATTTGATTTTTAATATAGGCATGAAAATGCAGAAGGACCAGAGCTTTTGTAATGAAAATAGTTTCAGAATGAATACTTCAAAGCCTGTTCTGTCAGCTCTGGTCCATTTTCCTCACTTGCTTTTTGTGGGGTGGGGGTGGGGGGGTGTTTCTTGTCCACTTAGGAGATTGTTGAGCCTTCCACTCGGTGAAGGTCACCGAGGAGTGAGAAGACATGTCTGACTTTAGAGTTTCCTCTTCTGTCTCTTCACTCAAGAGCGAATTGCTTTCTCGGGGGCTACAGTTATTGTTAGGGAGTTCTGATAGCGTGCTTTGTGGAGAGTTGCATTGCTAATCCAAAGGTTCTCAGTCTGATTCCACTAACAGCCTCCAGAGAGAAAGATGAGTAGTTTCTTCCTGTGTGATTTACAACCTCAGAAAGCCCACAGAGGGGCAACTGTGAGTCAGACACCAACACAGATGGAGATACATTCACCTGAACACAGTTTGTTTCAGCATCTTTAGTGTATGAAATGATGCTAAGTGTGCAAAAGATAGTAGAACGAACTAAAACAAACCTATTACCATTCATCACATTCTGAAGCACATCGACCCTGTGAATTTAGAATAAACTGTGACACAGAGGTTTTGGGGTGGGTTTTCCCCCCCTTCTTTCTGTGATATTTACAGTAGCAGATTGCCAGGCCTTTGTTCCATGGTCCCTCAGAGTTCAAACCACCAGCCTTTACTTTAGCAGTCAGTTACAAATTGCTTGTTTCCCCCAAGGACCCTAAACACTGTACGGATTGTACAATAGGTGTGTGACTTACAAAAACATAGTGAACAGTTCTAAGCTTTGGGGCCACTTGTTGATGTGTGACAAAGTGAGTCATTAAACAGGGACCAGAAAGTGCCAAATTGACGTCGTCTGGTTGGGTCCTCTGTGAGATGGGGACTCAGCTGTCAGCTCCTTGCCAGGCTGCCTTGAAGGACAGCAGGGAAGTGCGGGCTTTTCTTTCACAGAGCAGGTACTTAGCATGCTGAAGGTGGTGATTATACTTGATGAGTAGGTATTGCTGGGATGTGCAGGTGTGGTTAGTAAATAGCTGCAGGTGGCTGTGAGCCCTGCAGGGGAGAAAAAAGGCATCTGAAAACGCTGCCCGGAACTCCTGTCCCATCCAGATCTGATGCTGCCTGTTAACTGAGGCCCCTCGGAGACTTGTGCCTTTGTCTGCAAATATACCCTTTTAGGTGTTTGTTCCAGTGTTCCTCTACCTCTGCTTCTTTTCATTTTTATTTTCTTGTGAGATAAAGTAGAGCTGTATTTCAGGGAATATTTTTATTGTGTGTCCCAAACCCTCCCCGCTGACAATGAGTTCTGAGCTGTGGCTCCTCTGTATTGACTTTCAAAGCCTGGAAATCTTACAGGGTAGACACTGACGGAGTTGCTGGTAGATTCAAATGACCATGGTTTTGATCAGAAGCCCAACATTTAACATACTGTATCACAGTGATGTGCATGCGAGTGTGTGTGTCTTTCTTATATATCAAACTCTCAGTGCAACCCCTTCTCAGCTGATTGGTGACTCAGTGGATCTCATCATGAAGGTGATTGCATTGTGTAAAGTCCCATCAAGGAAATGATTATATTACACCACATATCATCCAGGAAATTATTACATCAGGTCTTATCAAGGGAAAGAGTCCATCATAAGTGCTAACCCAGAAAATGTAAGGGTTTGTGTGTGTGTGTGTGTGTGAGAGAGAGAGAGACATTTGGACATTTGCCATTATAACTATTTTAATTGTACACTTCTGTGACATTAATTCCATTCTCGTGTTGTGAAACTATACTGTGGATCATATTTTTTAATGGACATGCAGAGCTCAGAGAGAAATGAGCCCTTTTTTGTAAGCAAAACATTTTGGCTGATCAAAACAGGAACACACGGGAAGTCAGAAATCAAAGGAGACTGTGTTGCAGGGGTGCAGGAGCCAGCCACTGGTCCAAGCCAGAGAAATGTAAGTAGCAAAATAAAGAACAAAGCATGAGACTCCGCGTAGCCCAAAATAGAAGCGCAACCTCTGTGAGTTTATATTGATAGAAATAAGTGGATCTCTGTCTCTCCCTCTGTCTCTGTCTCCCTGATTGTCTTTGAATCAGAAGTGACTCTTTGCTGACCCTCCAGCAGATTTTCCGAGACTATAAAGCACACAGGAGACATTCCCCATCTTTTGCCCAAGTAGCCACTGGTGGATTCAACCTTTCAGAGAGGCAGTAGCACCTGTGCTTTAGCAAGGTGACTCCGTATCAGAGACCCCACCAGATCTCTGTAATCGATGATTAAATAAATAAATGGGAGGAGGAACAAACTTCCCAGCCAAGAAAACTCCAAACACTTTATGCAGATTCTTCTGCTTCCTTTGGGAAGGTGGAGTTTAACTTAATATTAGATTTGTTTTCAAAGAGTAGTATGGTATGAACAGAGGAGTAGCTTCGCAGAGGGGGCATCTGGCAAACACTACCTCAGACAGGTGGTCCACACCAGCGCCATCAGCATCTCCAGATTGATAGCACCTCCCCTGGTGGGATGCCCTTGGAGATCACGTTGTGCCTGGGCTCTTCCTCTCAAAACTATAATCCTATCAGTGCAAAAGGCATCAGGCAAATCCAAGTGGAGGCACAGCCCCTGAGAGTGCGAGTAGTCAGGGT